GCACCACCTAATTTTAAAAAATAAGGTTTCACGTGTAGTGATAAAAACATTCCCTCTTTTGACAACATTCCCTCGTGACAAATAGAACTCTGCGGAAAAAGGAGAGGCTTTTATTGGGGGTTATGATGAATTTATAAACTTCAATGCAAAGTGATCGTTTTCCCAACTTTAATTTCGTCAAAAGTTCTGCAGTTTCCTTTACTCCTACATAGTGGCATCATCAAAGATGGGGTTGATCGGTTAGAAATAATTAGGAGTATTTTATAATACTCCACATGAAATTAAGAGGAAGTAATTCTTGTTTTCCTAGCTTGCGCTTCAAGAATACTAAACACCTAGCATGTATTACTCTCCCTCCAATTTTTTTTATCATTTGATCTTTTCGGACAATTTTTTTAAATTTTGACTGTAAAGAACAAAAATAATACATTGAATTATCATACGGAATATAAATTTATTATCAATAGATTTATCATTTATTCATCAAGGATTGCACCTAAAATTTCTAGATTGCACTCTATCGTCGAGTGACCTGATATGTGTGTGTAGCTATTGTTTCACTCCCTTCGTTCTATCTTTTTTCTCTTTTTTCACCCGTCCCAAAAAAAAAATTTCATTTCTATTTAAAAGTCATTTTTACCCATATCATATCATATCATATTTTTTCACTATTAATCTATTCATTACATCATGTTTTTACTCATCACATTGAAAGACATTTTTGGTAATTCAACACTAAAATATACCCCTTAAATCTTTTAAAAATCAAGATCAAAAAGGTTTTGTGGGATATGAAAGTGACTGATACGTGCGAGCGTTTAATGACTGGAGTCTGGACCGGAGCTCTCAATCTACCTCCACATGCATTCACGTTGCACTAGTGTCTATTCATTAGAAGAATGGCATCATTGCCATTTCCATATATTTGCACTTTATAAATCCAGTGCTATGCTATTCACGTACATTAATATATTACTCTTCTCTATCCGTTTTTCAAAAGAGTTTAATGGGTTATTTGATGTAATTTGGGGATTTTGGGCAAGGAACATTTGGTAAATGGGCTGTAGTGTATACACACTTGTTAAGCATTGAATGAAACCAAGTCACAATTTCACAAAATTTAACATTATAAGTGATTATTATCCTCCTATTCAGTTCAGAATGGGCACGGACTGGACCGATCAAGCAAAAGACCTAATCTACACCGAATAGATTTGGTTTTCATTCGTTACGGTCTGGTCGAAGATTGCATTTTTTCGTGAGCTGACCGATTGGCCGGACCTAAATAAAACACGATATCAACTTAATAATCTCTTTGCCCTAAAATAAGTTTTAAAGTTTGATTTTTATAATTATATATCTTCAATGCAACGATTTGATTCTTAACCGGAAAAATTAATTATACTAAATGCAGGAGCTACATGGAGATGGAGAGGAGATTCAAGGTGTTCGTGTACGAGGAAGGGGAACTGCCCGTAGTCCACGACGGGCCATGCAAGAACATATACGCGAGCGAGGGGAGGTTCATCGGGGAGATGGAGCACGGGAGGAGCCACGGGTTCAGGACCAAGGACCCGTACTCGGCCCACGTCTACTTCATGCCTTTCAGTGTGACTTGGATGGTGAAGTACCTCTACAAGCCCCTCACTTATGACGTCTCCCCTCTTCAGCAGTTCGTGTCGGACTATGTTCGGGTCATCTCCACCCGACACCCTTTCTGGAATCGAACTCAGGGCTCTGATCACTTCATGCTCTCTTGTCATGATTGGGTACGTACGTACGTAGGCATACATACATATATACGTACATGCTTCATTATTATACTCCATCCATCCAAATTGGTTCTTTACTTTTTATGGTCAAATTTTTTACCATTTGACCACAAATTACAAAAAAAACATTTAATTTCTCCCTATAAATTTAGAAATATCATATTTTTATAATATTCCGTTTATATGAATTGAAATATTAATGTATAAATAGAGATATTAATGATCAAAATATTGCATTTAAAATTGTGAAATGTCAAGTGAGAAAACACAAGTGGTTGTGGTTTGTGTGGTTATTATTATCTGTCCATCTTTATGCATGCAGGCATTCAATTTGCTTGTTTTTTATTTGTCTAAAAAATGCTCTTATTAGGTTTTATGAAAGAAATTTATTCTTTGCAGTTTTTTTAATAATGTGACTTTCTTGACCAAAGTGTTGCATATTTTAACCATTAATAAGTATAGTTATATATAAATAGATATTATAAACATATATTGATCAAAATGTGTAAAATTTGACAAAAAATATCAAAATGTAAAGATATTTGTGGGAGGGAGGAGTATATATAATCTGGCCTCGTGCTCCACTATTTTAATTAGAACAACTTAAAGTGACAAAAATTAAGAAAAGGTTTATTATAATGGTTGATATTGAAGGTTAAATTACTATGACACAAGCAAATTGAATTGAAGTTAAATTGACAATTACTCCTAAGAAATATTTGCACTAAATAGCACTAAAACTTAAGTCATTTCTCTAAATAGCACTTAGATTGTTTTTCTTCTCTAAATAGCACTTAATAATGTCCATAATGACTAGTGATGCCAAACATTTACTTGAAAAATGACTAATGGATAATGACTAAAAGTGCTACATTGGGAAAAAACATATGTAATGCTATTTAAGAAAAGTCATTATCTTTTAGTGTTATTTACGTAAATTCCTCTTACTCCCCTCTAAATAGATCAATTTGATTGTTTTCAGGGTCCACTCGCATCAAAAGGCAACGCGAACGTCTACAACACCTCCATAAGAGTCCTATGCAACGCCAACTCCTCAGAAGGGTTCAACCCCCAGAAAGACGTCAGCCTACCGGAGATCCATCTCTACACCGGAAACATATCCCCCAAACTCCTCCAACCCAACGCCACCGCCGCCCCGAGGCCCCTCCTGGCCTTCTTCGCCGGCGGCCTCCACGGCCCCATACGCCCCATCCTCCTCCGCCACTGGCAGAACCGCAGCGACGACGAGGACCCCCCCATCAGAGTCTACGAGTACCTACCCGACCACCTGGACTACTACACCTTGATGCTCCAATCCAAGTTCTGCCTTTGCCCCAGCGGGCACGAGGTGGCCAGCCCCCGCGTCGTGGAGGCCATTTACGCCGAATGCATCCCCGTGATCCTCTCTGCTAACTACGTTCTCCCCTTCAGCGACGTCCTTAACTGGGATGCCTTCTCTTTACAGGTACACATGAGCAGACTAAAACATGTTTTATTGGAGTCTAAGAGCTTGTTTGGGAGTGATTAACTTCTGGATAAAGTGATTTTCACACAAGCTGAAAGCAAAAGCACCTCATACTTGCTTCTCCAAAACGGTGTTTTGTGTATAAAATAGTAGTGGTGAAAAGCAGAAGCTTACATGCCAAACAGAATAAAATCACTTCCACTCAAAGCAGAAGCTAAATTACTAAAAGCAGCGCACTGCCAAACACCCTCTAAGTTAACCAATAAACTTTTTGTAATTAAAATTGACAAATTTTGACTATTGACTAAATAAAATTGATACTCCCTCCTTCTCAAGTTTTATTACTTTTTCCATCCCAAGATTCTTTCATTTTTCTATTAAAAACTACTTTTATCTTTACTAATTCTTAATCTACCTATCATATTATACTCTTTCACTAATAATCTACATATCACATCCTACATTTACTCATTACATCCATGGTAGTTTAGAAATTTATTACAAAAATATTTTCCATTAAAATTTATTAAAAGTCAAAATGAGAATATCTTTATGAGATGGAGGAAGTACAATATAAGAATTATGAGGCCAAACCCCATGTTTTTTAAAATCATTTTATTTAAGAATTGATATAAGAATAAGAAATAAAGGGTTATTTGGAGTTGGTTTCCCAATTTAACCTCTGATGGTATGAGTAAAAGTAAGAATTAATAGCAGTAAAATTGTTTTTTTAATAGAAATTGGAAGTGTTATGATTAAACAGAAAAAAATAAAAGGGTAAGAGTTTTGGTGAATTGATGAGACATTGTAATATCTGGCGGGGAAATTAAAACTGAACAAACGCGAGCATAATTTTCCTTCATTTTCTCATCTTTACATTAGAACAATCAAACACTTACACTATGTTTGGTTCAAGGAATTTGGCACGAAAAGAAAAGAAAATGGTTTTCTCTCATTTTCCTCACCAAAATGGGAGGAATTTGGTTTTCCTTCCTACATTTTGCCTTCTCATTTTCTTTTCCTTCCACTTTTCTTTTCTTTTCCTCTCTAACCAAACAAGAAATATGTTTTCCTTTTCATTTTCTTTTCCTTTCCCTCTCAAATTCCTTGAACCAAACATAGTGTTAATCTACTCTTTGAAAATTCCGGTTCTGCCACTACAGGTAGAGGTATCGGAGATCCGGCGGCTGAAGGAGATCTTGATGGCCGTCTCTCCGGATGAGTACTCGAGGCTTAAGGAAGGGGTTCGGGCTGTGAGGAAGCATTTTGTGTTTAACGAGCCTGCTCAGAGGTATGATGTGTTTCATATGATTCTACACTCTGTTTGGCTCAGGCGACTGAATCTCAGAACTGAATAATGAGGTTTTGGTTTTGAAATTCTGATACATATATACGCCCAGTTGTAGACCCCCCCTGGTTGAAAAGGGGGAGAAGGGGAAAAAAATTGTGCAATATGCCTAGGTAGCGAAGGATATGAAAACATAGCATATAATTATATACAGGTTTTACCAGGTGCGATTATTCAAAAAAAGAAATGAATGAAAGATATTTGTGTAGTGAACGAAAAGTAACTCTCCTTATTCCATATGAAATCTTATTTTTGGATAGAAATGGATTTGGTATAATGTATAAATAGATAGATGAATGGTTTGACTTCAGAAGAGGTCAGCTTGTGCTCAAGGTTATGACTTATAAGTTTGATTTAAAGTAGACTATAATTACGGAGTATTAGCAAAAGCTAAGTGGGGAAATCAATCTACACCTCAAACGGTAACCCTTTAATTGCACTCATTTAATGATTTATAATAAGCCAATTTAGAGAAATAGAAAATTACAAATCTTAGATTTTTCATTTTGAATATAATAATCACACGGACACAAAACCTCATGTACTTTGTCAGCCCTGGTGTCATAAAAAAAGCAGGAAAAAAAAATACTTCACTCGAGATGAAACCATTCATAGAGAAATGCCATTCATTTGGGCAGTCGTGGGCCCAGTCACGCTCCGATTCACTCTACGTTAGTGTGAGAGAGAAAGACCGGAGAGCAATGACATGAAATAAACCGAGAACCACATGGAAACCTGAGGATGGAGAAGACGAGGAACGGCCAATTTGACCATTCTCACTTTATACACGATGGAAGCGCAGGGCCATGACATACAAATGCCAAAACGATGTAAGCTATCACCAACAGGAAGAATATCACCGCAACTCTGCAGGAAAAAGAAGAAAAAAAGACGGCAATGAATTATAGATGAACAAAATAAGTTGATAATGTCGATTAGAGGTTTAATGTGTTATTTCAATATAGTCCATTCAAATGCCTATGTACCAAAGCATATCGAAAAACAACCATGGTTCAAAAAATGACCACCCAAGCAAGGAGAAGAGCATATAGGCATATGAAGAAAATCAACCTCAACTACCCAAATACAGCATTTCACATATTGGATTAGAATAGAATCCCATTTTAAGTGCAGTAGCTAAGACGAAACTAACTATGGGAAAATACGAATAATCCATCTCTAAGACAATATTGCATGCATAGATAAAAAAGGAAGTAGTGCTAGTTTGAGTCACATACATGAGTTTGACATTTCTCCACCACACAGCATTCTTAAAACGCCGCGCCTGCTTCCTGAAGCGAATGGTGTTTCCTTGCATATTAGCAGTTTTATCAACCAGCAATTCCAAACGATCCCCTCTCTCAAGAACTTTGTCGATGTTCTCAATCATGACGTTCCGCACCTATTGCGTACAATACACATGAATGGGATCAGGTCATGTGTTTCATATTATTTCAACAGTCGAATGGTTGGAACTTGGAACATCAGAGAGAATACAGTTTTTTTAAGTAGATTATTTTATCCTCACATAGTCACATGGATAACTTCAGATTTTTGGGGGCAATGTCGAAAACTTTCTAAATTTTGACAAGGCACGTCTCTTAACAGTGTGTTTGGTTCAAGGAATTTGAGAGAGAAAAGAAAATGAAGTGGAAAACTGTTTTTATTGTTTGGTTAGAGAGGAAAAGTGGAAGAAAGAGAAAATAAGAAGGCAAAATGTACTAGTAGAGAAAACCAAATTTCTCCCATTTTAGCAAGGAAAATTAGAGAAAATCATTTCCTTTTCTTTTCATTCCAAATTTCTTGGATAAAACACAGTGTAAACGTCAAGAAATCCCACATACTTTAAAATATTTATTAGTTTAAATAAAGTTATATAAAAGAGCTTGAATGTAAGTTTTAGACAAATTACACTACAAATTAGCTCTGTTTTATAGAATATGACTTTTTTTTTTGAAGAAAACTAGCTTTCAAAACATGATTTTTTTCCCGTGGCCGGAAGGAGAACAATGAAGCAAAAATACCATATAAGGGTTATAAGCAATTAAGAACATTTTTTTTAATATGGTTAAACAGAATATTGTAGCTTAGATATATCATAACTCACCTGACTCATTTCACCTTTTAACCTGTTTATTCTGTCAGCATTTGGATCGTTTGAGTAATATTCCATTTGTTGGCTAAGGACTCTTGAGAAATCATCATTCATGGCATAGGCTTGTGCAGAGAGCACAGCTCTTCCATAGGTTCTCACAAATCTTTGATGAATCTCCTCAAGGAACGCAAACGGGATTCTCCCTGCAGAGCAATGCGTGAAAACAGTAGTAAAGAAAACCAAGCAAAGCTACTTTATGGAAAGGTCAATCCAGAATCACTTGAACAGATAAAAATAGACTCACGTTCGTAAAATACACATTCAATTCCAAACTGTATCAAAGAAACTCATTACATGTTCGAAAATAGCATTTGGGATACAGAGAAGCTGTTTCCAAGACCCCCTCCCCCCCCCGGCTCCCCTCAACTTTGAATATAAGAGAGACTATTTCTGAGAGGCCCCGACAAACAACACCTAAGTCCATAAACATCCATCCAACCAAGAATCATCAACAGCAAGCAATCGAACCAATTCCACCAAAATTCAAGTTTTTATTTGTTCTTTTTTTAAGGGATATTGTACAGAGTAGCTTTCAATTTCAGCATTGGTGACCTAAATCTTATTCAGAATGTTTGCTAATGAAACGGAGGCAATGAAAGAGACAAAGAATTCTCTTGAAGAAAGTTTGTACCCCATCCAGAAATTTTCTTTCCAGCATTTGACTTTTCTTCGACAAAGTTTGTAAAATTTGACTCCAATATGCAGAAAAAATGTTCAATTTACTCCTTTTAAACATAGTTTTGAAATATATTAAGGAGTATTTTTTATAAAATATATCTATCTGGACCGAGGGATTGAAATTTTAAAAATTGAACCAAATTTGTCCTTGAATTTACCACATTCAAATATTCAACAATCCTTATACCATGAGCGGATTACGGTTAGGTTAAAATTGAAAAAACAAAATAAAATAGAAAAGGTAATTTGAAATCTACGAGGCAAGAAGTAAATTTTAGGGGGAAAAAAATGAGGAAAGCAGACATACTTCCGGCGACATCGTCGGCCATACAGAGGACGGTGAGGCCATCGGTGCGCTTGACGTGGAAAATGAAGCGATCCTGAGAGTAGGACGAGTTGGCGTCGCCGTTGCCGGGGATCTTCTCCAGAATCTGCCTCGCGATGGTGCTCGCGTTCGTCGACGCCGCGCTGTGCTCCGCCAGCACCACCGATCCCCGACCCACCAACGCATAAAGGATCGCCATCGATCTCCTCCCTCCCTCCCTCTCTCTCTCTCTAGATCAACATATTTATTTCGCCCTCTGGTTTAGGAGATTTGGACAAGGTAGTTGTCCACATTATTTTGGTCTAATCACTTTAAAATCACACGTGATTAGTAACCTTTAAAAAAAATGAGGGGGTCCTTGTGAACACTAATTTTACTTTCTTTTTTTTTTATTTATAAAATAAAATAATTTTATCAATGCTTATTCGTAAAACTTTTGATATAATTTTTTAATACTTGCATGTAATTTTCATTTATTTATTTGATCTCAATTTTTATTTATATTGATTTAAAAATAAATTCATTCAAATATCTTAAATTGAACAAGAGCCTCATTTTAAGACAAAGAGAGTATCTTACACAAGTAGAAAAAAATTATTATTAATTAGTTGAATTACAATGAAATAAAATTTTAAAAATTTAAGAGAATATACTTCGTAAATGCAACACTTCGATACTAGTCTACGATACATTTTTTGTTTAATTAATGAAATTTTTTTGTCTAATTTAAGTCGAAAATATCAAATTCAATAAATAAACTCTAGAAGAAGGTAGTAGTTTGAATATACTTACTTTGCCCCAAAATAAAATTTTCATTGACTGAAATTATATTTTAATTATACATAATAAAAAATTGGTACAAAATTACAAAACAAAAATTATATGCTCTATACTTAAAAAGTATATTAAAAATGTTAGAAATCAAGCAATAATTTATTTTATCAAATGAACAATGAAAATAAGTATAAACAAACTTCATATAAGACAAAGGGGATAATTTTCAAAAAAAATAACAGAATTAGAGATTCAAATTTTGATTATTCTTAACAACACTAAAGTTGAAAATATAAAAAACACATGTATGTAATACGAGATTATATGTATAACATATTAAAGGGGAAAATACACATATATGAAGGCAAGGGGAATGGGACATTCATATCCAAACAATATAGAGTATGGAAGTCTATGTTTTTATCATTCTGTTGGGGGGTTGCTTATATGGTAATTAATAAACATAAAATGCAAAGTTTTAATTTTTTAAAAGCTTGGTGATGCTAATGTTTAGTCAACGAGACTCTTATATCATGTGAAAGAACTAACTCAATCAAAAGCTTGAGTTTGTGGTTATAGGTTAGAAAAAAATTATATTCTAATATAAGGAGGTGCCGGCGTGATCAATGGTAAGAAGGAAAAAAAGACGGACTCATTTTTTTTTTGGAGAACTTTTGCTCTGATATAATGTCAATGAACCAACTTAACCGGGGATGATCAAGGGAAGTGTTTGTGTAGCGAGTTAATTAGTTGACTAGAGGTTGAGGATGATGAGTGGATTTCATGCGATTGTTGGGTGGTTAATGAAACTGGATGGGTTTCAAGTGGTGGGTGGATGATAGCTGGATTGTTGATTGGCGAGTTGCAATTAGGGTCCAGGCAATGATAACATTTTGTAAGAGGTTCATTCCCAAGAATGACTCTTGACTTAGAATGCAATTGTAATTTGTAATCAATCTCATGGTGTAGACAGGGATAATAGTGGAGTGGGATGTGTAATTTGCAAACGACCTTAGATTTTTTAAAAGGTGATAAGTGGTGGAGTGATTTTTTTGAAAGACGACTGGTTAAAAAAAATTCAATGGCAAGAAATTCTGTCCAAAAAAAATTACAAATAAATTTGTTGTGTCAAAAAGAATAATATTTGTTTCAATCAGATGGTGATGTTTGCGCTTTATGTCAAAGGCAATATACACATGGCGTTGTGTTCAACAAGAGGGTTCTAAGTCTACGCAGTTACTCTGAATCTGATTAGGCTAATTATCCATAGAATAATGTTTGACAATCGTCTATCTTATCAATCTTGGAAATCATCTTGTATCCCGAAGATTGAAAAGCAGACACGTGTTTTCAAGTCATCACCGGAGGTTGACTACCGAACACTATCAGTTGTAGAATCGAAGGTAATGTGGCTCTCATATGTTTTGATTGATTTGCGTGTTGCTACACCCCACTCGTTCATCAGTCAGCTAAATGCTACAAAAATCAATTTTTCAAAAGGATATGAAATATGTGAGAAGTTAATGTCACTCCATTCATAGGTTTGTCACGATGGAATCTATATGTTATTTTTGAGTAACAACATGTAGATTTTTAACAAAATCTTTGACATCATAATGATTTTCACACTTTTATGTCCAAGTTTTCTTCTTTATATCCAAACTCAACTTAAGGGAGATGTTAGATTGATTATATATTACATTGTTATATCACGTCTTGTATAATTATTTACTTATTTGTATGATTATTATATCTAAGACAAACATGATGTTTGATCATTTAATTTGAGAATCCAAAGGTAATGTTTAACTAATATGATTCTTCTTTTACTACTTTATAACACATCAGATTTATATATACCTCTCTAGTAAAACTATGCTTTTCACTTTAAAATTAACCTTTCTTTTTATTTTTTGGCCATTAGTCACTATTTCATTATTTTTCTTCTTAAACACATTAAAATTTCTTTGTCAAGATTTAAGTGGGTCGGAGTCTCGGAGAGGACATAAATTTGATTTTTAGTGTATAGTAAAGTCTACTTTCTCCTTTATTAAATAATCTTTTAACACATTAAAAGTCGAATGGATACAAACAAATACTAACTCTGTCCCTGAGTATTTGTCTAGTTTTGACTTTTTTCGGTTAACTGTTTTCAACATTTGACCTATAATTAAATAAAATATATATCGTATTTTAATTAAATAAAAAAAATATTGAAAATATTTAATATAATAAATCTAATAAAACTTTTTTTGTATCAATATCTAATACTACCTTCGTCCCACTGTCTTTGTCCACTTTTGACTTTTGAAACTGTTCATCTAAGCACTTTGACTCATCAAATTCTCTCAATGTGTAAGCCTAAATATAGTCATGTGTGATCTTGTTTGATTTGTCTTAACATATAGATTATTAATATATAATTTCTCTAATTTTTAATATACAAATTACAAGATAAAATGGATTAAAGAAGTGCATTGAATGATGTGCTAAAAGGTAAGTGGACAAAGACAGTGGGACGGATGGAGTATCATTTTTATTTAATTTAATGTCAAAGTTTATCAATTTTGACTGTAAAAAGTCAAAAGTGGACAAATACTCAGGGACTGAGGGAGTAGTACATTCAAATTTATTTGGTTTATAATATATTCAGAAATCATATCATAAAATTATAGGAATATATCTTTATATGAGTGACATTAAAAGTTCTTTAAGTTTGACAACAAAAGTTTTAAGACTTATACAATTGTCATTCTCTGTGGTGGCAAGGAAAGGGAACGTGGTAACCCAATTCAATACAATCTTAGAAATTAAGAAAAAAAAGATAGAATTAGCGTATTAAAGATAATGTCACACTGGATACTTCTATTGATGTAAAAAATGTCATAGCAGTGCTAGATAGGTAATTTTAGCTACATTATAGTGCTACATAGGAAAATTTCCCATTTTACGCACCATACAAAGTATTAATATACCACTTCTTCTTATTTTTTAGGAAAAATTACCTAGAATGATTCCAACTTTATTGGCCGACTTGTTCTTTACAAAAATTTAGTAGTACATTAAGATTTTGTATAGTGCGTAAAATATTAAAACCACCATTTCATATATATTTATTTTCATATCTTACCAGTTTAAGTTTTATTTTCATTGATTATTTTTAGAAGATCAGATAAATTTGAAATTATTTTGGACAATTTTTTTTTGTTTTATACCGAGTGGCGAAAACGTAGTGCATAAATTATTATGTACGGCACAACTTTTTTTTTTAATCGTAACGAACACGCGCCCCTCACTTTCTCTCTAACTTCAAGCCAAGAAGGGGGAAGGAGACGTGTAGTCGGTAGTGCGCGCAGGGCGCTTTTTAGCCACTTCTCACTCTTTTTGTTATCATACGCCGTCTCAATTTCGCTCATATTTTCCCACGATTTTCCTAATTCTTACTCCTGCCTGCTCCTGATCAGATCACCAAAACCCTAGCTCCGTTTCTCCACCGTTGAATTCCTTCAGCTCCAGTGTGAATCGTTCAGATTGGTGCGATTCAATGGATATGAAATTGGCCGCATTTTTGTAGAAATTTGGATTGAATTGGATTAGATATTGAAATTCATGTATGTTCACCCGTTCAGAGAGGGAGAGGTGAATCGGTTGATCGGTGTGATTTAGGTTGAGTTGGGATGCAGAGGCAAAGTCCGCCGAAGCACAGGCACGATGGGACTTCGCCTTTGCCGCTGGGAATGGATTGGAGCCCTCCGCCCAAAAGATGGGTGAGTTTCATTTCTGTCTCTTCTTTTTGATAAACAGTTGCATTTTTTGAATTTCTATCTTCATTTCTGGATTACTCGAATTCAGAAGCGTAGCTGATTGAATATCGGATTAGTTTGTTTTGATGTTAATTCCTGCAGTGCTTTGTTGTATTTGAACTCGATGAGCTTAGTTTTGAGCTAAGAGAAGAAATTTCATCAGTTCTTGTTGGGCATAATGACGTTACTTTGAAATTCTATCATTATGAGGAGGATCAGAGGTGAATATTGAATGTAAAACAAACAGTTTGCAGGCGATGTTAGAGAAATTAGTATAACTGAGTTTCCAATCTACTCTTTGGTGTTTGGAGTTATTAATTTTAGGACTAAAACATCAAAATTGCTGCTGATAGTGTTAGATATTGATGTTCATCTAAGGAGATACTAAAGACTTGGAAAAAAAGAACAATAAGAAGACGCTTAATATTTTTTTTGTTTCTTAATTCCCAAAAAAAGAGTCCAGTTTTAAAGGTTAACTTTCTTTTTAAGTAAAATCCTTGTAAAGCCAAGGGACAAGTGGTTTTAATGCATTACTCCTAATATATCTAAATTAAGCATTGGGAGTATAAGTTGCCATTCATAACTTGTAAAGACTTATACCTTGAGATCGAGAGAAAACTTGTTTTATTCTTTTCCAAATGCTAAATGTGTTTTATTTGCCCCATCTTTGTTAGTCTAACTTCTTGATAGTAGTGGGTGGGGGGCATTTATATCATTGAGATCCATGCAAATTTCTTACCGAATATTCATTTTTTTTAATTTCCAGGCAGGACAGGAAACTATATGGCCCCATGATCCTCAAACAGGGTGGAGTTATTGTGTCACAATTCCATCTTGGGTTGTCCTTGCAAAATCAAAAGATTCAGATCCTGTAGTGGTATTGAAATGTGTTCAA